AGCATCTGTAAGATGGGCCATAAGATTTAGGGCAAATCATTTCAGCCTCCCCAATCTCTCTGCCTCCATCTCTATTCTCGTTCACAACTCTGAACTTGCCCTCTCTCTCTCTCTCTCTGCGCACTACAAGTATGAGAAGTTCAAAACCCATATATTTCAGTTTATCTATCAAGAATCAAAAGTTCAAAACCCATATCGGCATATCATTTTAGATTGTTCAAAAAATCAAATCCCATATCTTTCAGTTTTCATTGCCTGCTATTCCAGTTTGGGTTCGCCTTTCGCAAGCTTCAGCCGCTACCCCCCCCCCCCCCCCCACCCCCCCTCTCGCTGGAACTACTAACTTATATGTATCTTGATTTTGTGAAGGGTAAATTTGGAATCAGAATTACTTCATCAACCCTAGCCTTCCCTTTCCTTCCATTACCTTCAATTTCCTTCCATTTTTTGGATGATAAGCAAAACACTATTCAAGCTTTGAGATAACCTTCCAAAACCTTCCCTCTCCTTCCATTTCCTTCCACCAATTTTTGCCAAACACAAATTTTTAATCCCCTCCATCACCTTTCCTTCCCTTTCCTCCCTTTTCCATTGCACCAAACTGACCCTAAAGGTCATCTTTGTTTGCTTTTATGAAATAAATTCATTAGTGACTTTCATGTAATTGGTGTTTCTCTCTCTACACTAGTACTAAACCCAACAACCTTTTCAAATTCTTTGTCCTCCACCAGGGTTCCAACAAATTCATATATCGGAACCCTTATACACATGTTCATATAAATTTACACATTCTTTTTTCATTTGTTTGTGAAGGTATACAAATATATGATAATATGCAATCGCGATGCATATATATATATACACACACATAGCCCATATACATCCGGATATATAGTTTACATATGATTATTTAATTAATTTCACATTCCCCCAATGGTTTCCAAAGTGATTTGGGTTTGGTTTTGGATTCTGCAATAATGATGAGGACATGAATTGGGTGCAATAATCTGTAAGAGTATCAAGTATGGGTTGTATCAATGAAAAAGAACAATTTGGAAATGAGTAAAGTAATGGAATTCGAACATTAGGTGCTAGAAAATAAAGTGATTTGGGTACTCCTCTCCTTCTTCATCTGAATCCACGTGTATATATATATATATATAACTGTGTGTATTATATATAGATAAAGGAGAGGTCGTCGCCTTCACTGTCGCCATAGCCGCCATCGCCGTCATCACCGTCGTCGTCGCCATAGCCATAGCCGTCGTTGCTGGAAGGCCACGCCTATTTGTGTATATATATATATGCACACAATGTTGTCTTTTTCAATTTGTTTGATATTTTAGTTTAAAATTAAGGGTAGTTTGTCTTTTCGCATGTTTTTAACGGTGTTAGTGACGAAAAAGTGAATTTGGACCTAAGTGATAGTAATTTTCGAGGTTTATTTCAGAGTGATATTTGGCCAAATCTAAGGAGGTGTCAGTAAAATCAACCCTTTATTTTGAAAAATAAAAATAAAAAAATTATTTTCAGCAATTCTAAAAAGACAATTCCATTATTCCAAATGTAAAATCATTGCATTACCATATATTGTATTTGATATGCTGGGAACTATTTTCTGAACTAAATGAGTTAAAAGAAAAATTATTTATAGAGTAATGCTTGGATACGGCCCTATCAGTACAAGTTTTGTCCTACAACTTGACGTGGCCCTATCAAAATTTGACACGTGTCCCACTAACAAAAAATTGAAACACACAGAATCAAATTCTCTAACACAGTAAAATCCAATTAGAAACCCATTTTTTCTCTCTCTTTCTCTCTTCCTCTCTTCTTGACTTTCCCTTTATTTACTTTTCAGACTCAATTCTTCTCACTCCTTCAAACCCAGACAACTCTTCTACTACCTTTCCCAATACTTTCTCTCTCTACCCATTAGTGTTGGAGTGTTGGGTCGATATTTTTTCACCCAATTATGAATGCAATATACTGTACAAATTAAATGTATAGCTTTAACAAATTCAGAGGTAATTTTAAGGCTTATTGTTGAGAGAGCTGAAGAGGAAAAGAGAGAATGAAGAAGTATGCGGGTATTTTTTTTTTTTTTTTTTTTTTTTTTTGTGGGGGTGAAAACAGATTTTTTGTGTGGTGAAAACGGATTTTTGTGGGGGTGGTGCCGAGGTCACCGATGGAGTCGCTGAGTTCGGACCATATGATGGTTTTGGGGCGGGGGGTGGGGACTGGGAAACGGTAGCACCGGTGGGGGAGGAGAGGGGTAGTGGTAGAGACTAAACCGAAGAGGCCATTGTTATGCTTTGAGTTCACTTTCTCTCATATCAGTGTTGGACCTGAAAAGTAAAAAAAGGGAAAGCGAAGGAGAGAGAGAGAGAGAAACAAAAAAATTGGGTTTTTAATTGGATTTTACCCGGTTAGAGAATTTGATTATGTGGGTTTCAAATTTTTTATTGTGGAACACGTGTCAAATTTTAATAGGGCCACGTCAGGTTGTAGGACAAAACTTGTCCTCATAAAGCAGGATCCAAGCATTACTCTTTTGTACATATAGGTTAAGTGAGAGAGAAACTTGATACAGTGCTTCTCATTGTATCTCATAATTTATCAACGAATACAAGCAATTCTTCATCCCACAGGCATCAAATAATTACCGAAAATATTGTCTGGGAGTGACTCGGTCTGCATCCCATAGATATATGAATGAAATATGTATCAAAATCCAACCAAGCCTATTGGTGTGTGTATATATATATATATATATATTTTCGCCAATAGTGTTGTCATGCTTCTCAGGACACCACCCCCATAAAATATTTAGTAAATGAAGTATTTTCAAGATTTCATTATTAATGAGACGTGGCATAATTAACTTTTTTTTCGAATCCGAAGAAAAACCTTCTCTCATATTTTCTTTTTGGGAGCTAATTTTTTTTTCTTCAATCATTCTTAGATTTCTTTATGAAACTTGCCGATATGATATCTGGCCCTCGCAAAAAAAAAAAAACGCAATATGTACAGATCATTGAGACATTTATAATATGAGATCTATCTACCCTTTGGGACGGATATGGCTGGATAGTTAATATGTACAGGCTGGAACTTTATTCAAGGTGACATGTATGGCCAAAAAAGGCAATGAACACCAAGTGTATATATATATATATATATCTACCCTTCAAATCTCAACTAAGTTTCCTAGTTTCATTTCTCTATAAAAAGGCGCACACGTGTACTCTCTTCCTCTCTCTCTCTCTCCTAAACTCTTTTTCTCAATCTTCCTTTTCTGTTCTGTCTTCAAGGAGATCAGCATAGAACTAAGCAAGCTAGCATGGAAGAAGAAGTACTAACAACGTCTTTGATTCTTGAAGAAAACCCTCAAGTTAACGGCATTAGCCATGGTGGCAGAAAAGAAGAGAGTGGTTCCTCCGCCACCACAGCCGTGGTTGTCCTCAGCATCCTTGTCACCGCCTCCGGTTCTTTCACTTTTGGGTGTGCTGTAAGTGGAATTTAAACATACCGGCCATTGTTGTGTTTCTATACTTATTTGATGCAGATATTCTCATGACTTTGGGATTTTATACCTACTTCTGTTGTATTATAACTTGACATGCAAGAATTTAAATAAAATTAATAGATTTTTCTTTTCCTTTTTCTTTTTTTTATTGACGAGATGGTTTCAAGAAAAGGCTAATACAATAATTCTAACAAACTAACGAAAGGAGAGAATCTATCGTACTCGATCGAATGGATAAAGCCACGAGCTCATACTGTGTATGTGAGCTAGCATTGCTTCATGTTGTGAGGCACTGTAATGCTTTCGTTTCGGTCGCATGACTCATGTTGAGAGGCAGTGTGTCCATGTCAGGACGAAAATGTTATATGTTAAGAAAAGTGATAGAGGGTCCTAAATGTTATACGTAAGAAAAATATATATATATATTATTATAAAATATTTTAAATTATAATTTTTTTTTTTGGTTAATTAATTGTTTCTTTTCTTTTGTATCATAGTAAACAAAATAAGACATTATTTCATTCTCTTCTCTTTTATCAAACCAAATAAAAAGAGAGAGAGAGAAAATCTCTTTCCTAGGGAAGTCTCATTCTTCTCTTCTTCTCTCCTTTCCATCCAATTTTCTTCCTTCCTACAAAATGGGTCGTGTTCGGGCTGAACGATTAATTATCGAATTCTCTTACATCCACACGACACGATTATAACTCGCAAATACAAATTGTCATTGCCTGATAGTTGCTACAGTAAATAGAGGATCCTGACTAGGATTAATTGGGTTGAACATCTCTAGAACAAGGTATAAGAGCGACCCACTACAACACATGATCCTAGGGATTTAATACATGTTTGAATGTGTACTGTACCGAATTCCTACCATGTGTTGAAATCTCCTTTTTAGCATCATTATTTCAAGTTTCAAAATACTTAAATCGTATTTTAACTTATTAGTTCTATGGGTTGAAATCCATAACAAATGTATTAAAATGAGTTTAAGTGCAGAAGATTCAGACTTAAGAAAAACTACCCGCGTTTTAAAGTCATGAAAAAAGAATATATATATATATAATAGATAAAAACGATTACAAGTAAAATATATTTATTGCTTTTTTACCGGTGACACGAACATTCACTCTAGTCAGACCTGTTAACACAAATATATATACATTACATTTAATATATAACAATTACATGGGACGAGTTAGATGAAGAATGGACCATTATCGTCTCGGGTGAGAGCGACGATAGCTTCAGCGTTAGGGTTAGGGTATGAGAGGAGGAATATAAGAAGATAATGAGATGGGTTGGAGAAGCGGATGGTGTGTGTGGCCAAAGCAGTATCGTTTGGGGAAAGAGGATGAGCAGAACTGCTATGTACTTTGCTGGAGAGAGAGTGTAATGCTATCAAGAGAGCCTCTCTTGACGACAGCCACAAGCTCTCTTCTTCAATTGATGAACTAATTTGAGATCATTATGAAATCTTCAGTCCAAGTCAAACTGAGTATGGCCTTGAACTTGAATTATCTATCCCATGTTAAATATTTGAGCTTAGATTGGAAAACAAAGGTTGAAAATAGGGTCGGATTGGAAAATACAGATTCAAAATTTTTGGTTGATTCTAGGAGAGTATACTAAAGATCATTCTACTTAAAAAGTATACAGTAATTAAAACTGTTTTAAAATACTAATTATATTATTAAGAAAACATATAAACTCTTTAATTATTTCCTTATATTAATAAATGTTCACATTATAGTGTGTTAATATATATATATCTATAAATTCAAGATGAGTTTGAATTTACAACTACTGATTGGATTTGTATTTGACCAATACCTCAATCCAAACCAAAACAGAATTCAATATGAATTTGGACCTTTAAATATAAGCCTGACCCCGAGTTTAATTTATTGATTTTCTTTTTGGTTGTTGTTGTAGTTCTTAAAACTTATTGACGGTCTCATTGAATTTACAGAATAATATTGATTCCTTGTACCATTAGACCCTTGATCCAGGTGATACGAGCTCTCCTCCCTAAAGGGAAGGGGCTGGTTTGAGCCCTACATGCGTCAGTGGGATGTGTGAGTGCGTACTTCTGTTTTATTTATTTTAATATATATATATATGTATATATATACTGATTTCTGGTAGAATGTCTGTCCCTTTTGATTTGGAGTTTCTGCTTGAAGCAAGTTTTTTAGTGTCTTAAACTCTTTTCCTTTGCTTTTGTTTTTCTTTTCCCCTCTTGTTTTTTGACACCAGAAGAAAGAGAATTTAAAAACAAAAGAGCCTATTTATTTGGATAACCTAATTAATAGTTGATGATTGCATATGTTCATGGAGCTGGCACTAGGTGTTTGTTCAGTTGACTTCTAACTAGTTAGTGGTTTATGTTTGCTTTGTAGACTGGATTTTCATCTCCTGCTGAGGCTGGTATCATGAGTGACCTGGGCCTCTCAACTGCAGAAGTAAGTACTAATCATTTTCCTTTTCTTAGGGTGTTTGGGGTGAACCAATCTCTTGTTTGGGCTTGAACATGCATGAATGCATTGAAAGGCAGTGTTATACTACTTGTGAGAGTGGTTTGTTTATGAAGTTTGTGACCATGTAAGCATTCCTAGCGCGTTGTTGAATTTAAATGTGAATGTATGTCAATCATGAGGAAAAGAATTCATTACCATTCACTTGTCAAGGTAGAGTGAGACTGTGAAAAGCAATGTAACACATTTCAGATGAACATTGTAACCATATAAACAGCAGATCCCAAATTAAACTATGGTTTTTTTTTTTTGGGGTGGGGAGTGAGGCTAAGGATAAGAAATGTGCTGTTTAATGTCCATAGCACACCATTTCCATGTTAAGTCATAAGTGAATTTACTAAAAGTTCAAGCTCTACTTATCAGTATTACTTGAATTTGAATACTTGTACGGAGCCAATTGACATTGAAGTCACTCGTTGAGACAACGGAGTCAAGCTACATGCTTTTCTGTGTGATCGATTTTGTTTACTGTCTTTCCATTTTGTGTAGTACTCAGTTTTCGGATCAATATTGGCAATTGGAGGAATGTTAGGTGCAGTAATAAGTGGAAAAGTTGCAGATCTCATTGGCCAGAGAGGTGTAAGTTTTTTATTTCTTTTTCCTCCTACCCTTCAGATGCCTCTGGGCATAGTATAAATTCTTGTTGCAATCACTATACAAATACCTTTATTTTGGTTGATGTTGTTATACAGGCTATGTGGTTCTTGCAAATATTTTGCATCATGGGGTGGCTCTCAATAATTTTCACAAAGGTTTATTAAACTTGTTTCCTTCCCACGACCGTTGCATTCCTTTATACTTCATTCTACAGCCAAGAGCAACTATTCATACTGCAAATATTATATGTTTTCACACATCCTAGCAATCAAGGGACTTTTAAGGTGTCCATAAAGCAACTTTATAAGAATTGACTTCCCAGGGAAACCAAGTGCAATTACGAAAAACTTCTAAGTGAACCTATTTTCATTTTTGTTTTGTTCAAGTTACATGCTGGGATCACTCTTCCACTTGATTTTCATTTTAAAATATGACAGAACTAAAAAATTTCAGCATTAAACGTAACTTTTTATGAAGCTGCTTGAGAAAGATATTAAGTTATATGTATTTTGACTGTTCATAAGAGCATCAAAACCGAAAAAAAAGAAGAAGAAAGAGAGTGACAGTCAATCTACATCAAGTCAGTAGAATTTTGATTTTCATTTTTTTGGATGCCATGATTGATATTAATTGTTCAGTGTTTGTCAAAAGGGAGCTTGGTGGCTTGACATTGGAAGATTATCATTGGGATTTGGAGTTGGGATTAATTGTTATGTGGTAAGTTTTGCAGATTATTGATCTCTTTGTCCATGTATTAGCGTACCTGGCTTACATTCCCATGCCCAAACAGGCAGGCGTATATATAGCGGAAATCACACCCAAGAATATTTGAGGAGGATGTTCATCATTTAATATGGTAAATCAAAATTAACATAGATCAAAATTATGATAAATTTGGATTGAATAATCAACTCTTCTGTTTTATGTTTTGGCAATTCTACAGTTGTCAATAAGTTTTGGCATGTCATTGATGTTTTGCATTGGAAATGTCATTACTTGGCGCTCTTTGGCTTTAATAGGTACCTTTCTTCACTGTTGTATTGTTTAGTATGGTCTGAAATAGTTCCATTAATAAGAGCTTGCATTTTTTGTTTCAATTTTAGGAATTGTACCATGTCTGGTGGAAGTAGTTGGTTTGTTCTTCATACCAGAGTCTCCAAGATGGTTGGTGAGTTCGATTCAAAATTTGATCTTGTTATTTAGGTGGTGTTACATGGAGTGTTTTTAGTCTAAAAGAGTGAACTAAAATTGAAAAGAAAAATGGATTACTAAAATTTTTGTTAAACGGAATTATTTTAAGGTTTTGTTAAATGACTCGTCATTTAAAAGTTCTAGTAGTGGAGTATTCTTTGTTTGAACATTAATGGTTATATATATATATATTTACATACATGTTTTTCTGCTTCTTTTGAACCAAAGCATGTTAAAACAATGAAACATAATTTAACAAATCAGTTTTAAACATATCATTTTTCTTCTCTTCCTACTTTTCAATTTGAGCTAATTGAAAATTTTCTTTGAAGCTAAACTGATGAGTGCAATTTTGTTTTCAGGCAATGATTGGTAAAGAAAGAGAATCAAAAGCGACTTTGCAACATCTGAGGGGGGAAAATTGTGATATTTCTCAAGAAGCAGCTGAAATCAAGGTAACATTTGAAATTCACATGTTAATCCAAAAGTCCCTGTCTAGAAGAAGGAAATTTATGCTTTCCTTTTCTTCTTATCCCTATTTCCAAGAACAGCAACGATGAACTAAAAGTCCTTGTTTTACAGGAATACACAGAAATTCTTCAAGGACTCCCGCAATCCAGAATTTTAGACTTGTTAGAGCGGAGATATGCTCACTCACTCATTGTAAGCCTCGACATTAATCATAATTAATTCTGTCTTGTTACCTTTTCCACAACTTCTCGATCCTCTGACGAATACAACAAATTGCACAAGGTTGGAGTGGGGCTAATGTTACTAGTACAATTTGGAGGGAATAGTGCAATTTCATCTTATGCAAGTTCTATTTTTGAAGCTGCTGGTAAATTAAGGATCTGTAGTGATGTCATTAAGTAATTACTGAATTGAAATAGCTAGTTTGAAGAATGAATGTCTGAACCTATGTCTCATATATGGCAGGTTGTTCGGCTAGTGTTGGCACTAGAGCAATGGCTACCATTCAGGTTCGTAAGTGTAATTTGAATGTGGGATTTTATTTGACTTCATAGATGATGTTGATATTCTTTGCAGATTCCATTTTCCATTTTGGGTGTACTCTCGATGATGATGATGTTGATATTCCATTCTTTTTTATTTTTTGGGTATTTTAATGTAGTTGATAGATGAGCAGCACTGAAGTCTTTGTAGGTTACTGCAGCTGCAGCATGCTTGGGAACCTTTCTTGCAGGACTTGCATTCCTCTTGCAGGTTTCTTTGAAACTATATGTCTTTATATTTCTATGTTCAAAGATAATTATCTCCTAAAACATTGATTTACCACCACCAGGACTTTCACCAACAGAAGGAACTCACTGCCATATTGATTCTGAGTGGCATACTGGTACGATGTCTAATCAAATGATAGTTCTATCCTCTGTTTCGATATATATCAAAGCAGAAAAATTCTAATTGAAGATTCGGTTTTATGTCTGTGTTAATACCTAGCCCAAAAAAAACACTGTAAACGTTTTTATCACTTTTTTTTTGACATTCCTACACAATCTCCCCATGAATATAATGTTGGGGTACAAATGAGTGTATGTAACAGTTACTCCTATAGTCATTCAAATAAATTCTTCTGATTTTTTTTTTTTTTTTTTTTTTGCACCATGTCGAATTTAAAGTAAAATAGCCCAACGCTTGTTAGTCATTGATTTACCTTTGTTTTGTCTTAGCCAAATTAAAACATGTTGATGGAACAAATTGAGATATGTGTATGTGTTTATGTGCATATGTCTCCTGATTCTGCAACAAGATATTTTCTGCTGCTTTTTCGATGGGCCAAGGTGGTACACCATGGGTTATCATGTCAGAGGTAGTTTATTTTCGTTGGCCTGAACTCACATTTTTAAAGAATTTCTAAACGGAGTTTGAAATGGAAAGAAAGTACAGATATAGCTTAAATATTTGTTGCTATTTCAGATATTTCCTATCAACATTAAGGGTTCAGCTGGAAGCTTGGTGACTTTGGTCAACTGGTTCGTTGCTTGGATTGTTACCTACACTTCTAACTTTTTATTTGAGTGGAGCTCAGCAGGTGAGGCCTCTGTCTGTATGTTTGTGTGTGTTGTGTATTCTTCACAGGGTACTAATAAGGCCACATTGCTTTAGGAGTATTCTTCTTGTTCGCAACCATTTGCGGTTTAGTTGTTCTATTTGTTGCAAGAGTGGTGCCAGAGACAAAAGGACGGACATTGGAAGAAATACAAGCATCCATGATTGATCTCATCCAATGAGATCGATACTGTTACGAAAACTAAATAAATGTTCTAATGTATCCATCTTCTTCTTTTTTGTGATTTCCATGATAAACCTACTTGGGATAGTTGTGAGCATCCAAATATTATCAATAAAGGTCGTTTAATAAGGACTGTTAAAAGTCCATTTGTTAAGATAGTGCATCTTATAGTGGTGGAATGTTCAGGTGATTAAGTAGTTACCTTGGAGTAAAAGCAACCATTAGTGTATATGTCTTTTAAGCCTTACACTGAACATTTAAAAGAAATGATAAAGTTGGCAAAATTTCTATAATTAGGGAGCCTAGACCAAAAAAAAAAAAATAATAACAATAGAAATGATAAAATTTGTTTATACGTCTTTTAACCCTTACACTGAACATTCTGGTATGCTAACTCTAGACTGCTTATTAATTTTACAGTGTATTGGTCTCTCCAGTATATAAAGTAAAATGATGGAAAACAACATTTGTTCATTGTAAGTTTGAGAAAATTTGGATTTCTTGGTGTAGAGTGCTCCTTTAAAATTTTCTTTTTTGGTTTCTATTAATGATTTAATCAGTTCTTAAACTTGGAAAATTAGTGGCCAATACCACCTGTGGCAATTATATGTTATGAGGTTTAAGGCAGGAGATCATTTTAGGCACATGTATACATATACATGCAAAACTTTTGAATTAGGTAGGACAAATTATTTGAAACCATAAGGTTTTGTGGGAGCAACATGTATGGCCGAAATCTTCATTATTCAGATGCATGTGTTTTTCCAATTTTCTTTTTCTTGTGCAAATTTCAGTATGATGTGTCAATTTTTATCGGGATGACATTTTTCGGTCTTCATCATGTGGCCAGTGTTAACAATCATGACTCTAGGCCTAGTTTGGAATAAAGTTGGGAATGAAGTGAGAATGTGAATGGAATGGAATAGAATAGAATGATCTTCACATTCTCTTATTTGATTGCAAATATGAAATGATGTTAGAATGAAATAAAAATCACTATTCTAAGTAGTGGTGGTGGTGATGGTGGTGGTGGTGGAGGGTGGCGTCGGTGGCAAGGACGATGGCGGTGGAAGGCGGCAGTAGCTGTGGGGGAAGGTGGTGGTGGTGAAAAAAGGCAATGATGGTGGAAGGCAGTGGTTGTGGGGAGAAGAAGGTGGTGGTGATGGTGGAATATGGATTTGTGGTGGCGGTGGTTGTGGTGGGGGTGATGATAGTCAAGAACTTCATTCCATACGTTTAGAAGTTGAATGAATTTTCATTCTCATTCTAAATGTCATATCAAATAAGGGAATGGTTGGAATGGAATGCTTAATCCATTCCATTTTATTCCTTTCATGCCTACTAAATTAGGCTTAAAAGCTATAGAATGTGTAATTTTAATATTTAAATACTCTAACACACCCTCTCTTAGTGTAACCTTCTTTTAATTCAATAAGTATTTTTAATTTTAATTATTGGTGACTTTGAAGTTAGAAAGCATGTTTAAGATTGAAAACAATCGCAATCGCAAGTAAAAATATGTATTTAGAGCACTTAAATATGAAGTAACATTTTAAACTCTTATGATTCTTAATGGTTAGATTAGAAGTGTCTAAAATCTATTCAAATCCAGCGTTCATTTGCTGGATCACTTTTATAGCCTCTATTGAACCAAGCCTTCATATTTTATTTTTTTCTCTTTTTGGTAGGTAAAGAAAAAAGAAGTAATAAAAATAAAAAATAAAAAAATTAATAAAAAATGACATTACAAGTAGGTTTAAGAGTCGAGACACACCACCAATCTCTCAAGAAGATATAAAGAAAGGAACAAAATTATCACTCACTTAATATAAATCCGGAAATGGAACACTACTAGAATATACTCACAACCCGAGGGCATAGGCAACTAAATAAATGAGAAGCAACTTATTATTTATTTTTATTATTGAACTGTCATTCTCCATGTGCAATTACTCACCAGTCAACCATACGATACTCTAAAAGAGGACTATCCATCTCAATTCAACCCTGACCTCACAACTGAGAAACACAATAAATATATATATATATATAAAGTGAGTTATAAAGTGCATATTTAAGAAATCCGTTGTTTCAACTTTTGTGGACAGTATGCATTTGAATGAACATCAATTTAATTTAGTTAACCAAAAAAAACTAAATGTGACAGCAGATTCGGTCATGTTAAACAGGTCAATTCAAATATTTGTTTATTAAATAATTAAACAAGTAATCTGTTTAAATCCTTTGATTTAAATGAGTCATGTAACTAATTTATTAATTTAAGTTTTAAAAATAAAAATATAATAAAAAAATTAAATAATCGAAAACGAAACTCATTTTAAATGACAAAAAAATGCTAAATACAATAATATTCATATTGAATTTATACTTTGATAGTAATTGTGTTAAACAGGTTGAGAGTTAATTGGGTGACACATTGATTAAATGAGTCTAATCAAGTTAAACGGATTGAGTTTCAAAACACAAATACAATATAATTAACTAAATGGGTTAATCGAATTGGCACGATTATAAAACAAACACGATTAAAGTGAATATAAACTTACAAACTTTTTATTAATTTCGAGTCGTATTGACTATTTGTATCCAATTTTGTCACCCAAAAAATAATAATAACCCTACATTCAGCCACACGTTGTTTTGGAGTTAAAATTAAAAGAAAATTCGTTCAAATTTGCTTCCCCAAGTAACAATTGGCATTATCACATGTCTCATGTTTGTATTGCCTTCAAACTCTTTTCTGGAATAAATAAATCTAAAAATATTCATTTATACTATGTATCTGAAAATAAGGGTCAAGTACATATCAAAAACACCATTATAATATGTGTAGCATTCCTTACGTGTAAAAAATATATGACATTTGTGTAAATAGACTAAAATGCATTTAACTACACATTTAATAATATATATAAAAAAATAATATTTTGTGAAATGACTAAAAAAAAAAAGTCGCTAAGAAAAACTCACAATCTATACACCATGCCCAGTTCGCCGGAGGAAGAGAAGATGACAACCTAATTTACCAATTCGGCTTACTGCAATCAAGAAACAAATTGATCAACCAAACAATAACCGACCACCAATTCGCAACCCCAAATGTCCATAATTTTTTTAGGGCACTGATGATTGTGTTCATGGTCGCCGACGACGCCACCACTGTTGCTTCCCTCTTCCATCACATATACAGTACACATACATTTGCACACACACAGAGGTAGTATTATATTCTATATATATATATACACACACACGTATATATATAAAAGAGAACAGAGAGAAGACCACCACAACGGGGCGAGCTCGGAACGGCGGCCGCCCTCTATGACCCCCGATGCTCCACAACAGCGTTCACCAATCACCACCACCACCACCACCACAATCTCATAACCCTTTATGCTCCAAACTGACCCACAACCCCATATGAGCAGCTTAACTCACTGAGAACCAAACCCGGCAAAGAAGAGGTAGAGCTTCGTCAAATCCTCAGAGAAAAAGACCGCACCAAAAATTACAACGCCGGAGTCCACCAAAGAGCCTCATGCAGCAACACAATTCTTCACTCCGCTGATTCGTAAGCCGCCAAGACGGCGGTGTTGGCGTCGATCTGAACAGGCACGCAATCGAGGCGGCCGCAGTAGTTGAGGTTGATGAGAAGCGAGAGGTCGGCGCACGTCAGCGGCGCCACCGGATCAACGCCGCTATGGGATTTGCTATATTATTCATTGGGGTTCAGATTAGGTGGGTTTGTTTAGGTTTTGGTGATGGTAAGGCAGGCGAACGGTGGTGATAGATTATGGTGATGTGGGGTTTGCGAATGGGTCTTACAGCTTTTGGTGGTTCGCTTTGTTGGCTAGATTTTGGTGTTTGAGGACTTTGGTTTGGTTAGCAGTGGCTATGGTTTTCAGATGGATGAACAATATATTGGTTTGATTGCTGTGAACAGTCGGGTTTGATTACTGTTGTTCACCGAGAAACCCACGTCTTTCTTTTTCTTCCCCGACCACAAGCTCCAAAACGCCATCAACCTTGTGAACACTTACCTCTCCAGCAGCCTCTTCCTGATCGCCCGTAACTTCCACCTCTCCCTCTGGTAGGGGCATTTTTGGAAGAGTCAAATTGGTAATTGAGAGGTATTTTTATGCAAATTAAAAAAAATAAGAATATTTTTTACATACCTTTTTAATTAATAGAGAATAAAAATGATATAAAAAATATATTTCAAGATTTTTTTGCACTTACCACCGGAAAATAATCATTTATATAGAAAGTTACTATGTATGAAAGAGGGGAACTTTGAATAAAATAAATATAAAAAAAAAAAAAAAGGGGGAAAACAATTGATCAAAGTGACATGTTTTTTTCATGTTCCATTCTTCCATATGGATATTGAAGTTGAATAATTGTAGGCCCAAAAAAGGCATTTAACGTCATTTTAACCAACTTTCTCACTGTCTAGTCTCAACCAACTAATTTTTTTTTTTTTTCGATAATTCTCAACTAACTAATTTCACGTGTCCAAAACCTGACTCTCTCTCTCTCTCTCTCTCTCGTCTCTCTCTTTCCTACTACTGCTACCACCACCTTGCATAACTACTGATCAACTCCTTTTCTCAAACTCTCAAACTTCATAACTCTTCTGTCTTTTTTTCAAGCAGATCGAGAAAGCATAGAACTAACCAATCATGGAAGAAGTACTACTAAACAGGTCTTTGACTCTTGAAGAAAACCCTCAACTTGACGGCATTGCCAATGAAGCTAGCGGTTCCTCCGCCCCCACAAGGGTGGTTCTCCTCAGCATCTTTGTCGCCGCCTCCGGTTCCTTCGCTTATGGGTGTGCTGTAAGTGTTTTAAACCAGTGTTGAGTTTCTATACGTGGTTTGAGTTTTTGATTTTGTATTTTTATTATTATTTTAACGAAAGTTCATATAGGTGTGTGTTTTTGTCATTGAAATAAAAAATAAAAAATAATAATTTCCACCTTATTTATTTTATTTATTTATATAGCTTTTAATTTAAAATAAATATTATGTCCTAGGGTTTAGATTTTTTATTGTAGCTGTATGATGCCGTCATTTTCATTCAAGATCTCGTATCCTTATAGATAATTAAAGTATGTATAATAATTGCTCGAATGGGATAAAGTCACGCGCTCGTATCAAGGGAGAGGCAACTGGTCATCTGTCATATCGTGTAGACGAGACAAAAATGTCATATATGTGAAAAATGATGGTGTCCTAATTCGGACCAATCAACAGGGATGACAACGGGTTTGCCTAAACCTATTTCACAAAATTTATCAGGCCACGTTGTTGTTATTTCAGGACGAGTTTTTAATTAGTATATTATTTTTGTTTTTATTTAAGTAGTTAAAGTATCGATTTCATTTGGTGTATATTTAATTGCGGGTAGATTTTGTCACTGTTATTATGTAATAAATAAAAATAGTTCAATATATTCAAATCGAACTGATAAATAAGTTAATCTGATTTTTAAATTACTAAATAATAAATATTAATATATTTACTTTCAATTTTAGCAAAATAAAAAGGCATACTTATTTTGAATATTTAAATTTTCCACCAACCCAACGGGTTGGGAAAATTAATTGCCATCCTTACCGATCACCATCAAAATAGAAACTAATGTACATAGCAGACAAAATATGTCACGTCACTAATTTATTACTAAAAAGAATAAATTACACTAATACAGTTTATCTCCTTTGTGTTTTAAATAATTATAATTACCATTTTTTTCAACGCTAATGTTATAAGTTTTTTTACTTTATCGGACAAATATGCGATTTATAATTGTCTTTTTATGGATAAAAGTGTCTTCACAATAGTTTGAAAGGCATATTTATCATATAAAACTAAAAAAATTATTACATCAAAATTGATCATCTCTCAATGAATGAATTACACATATGTGACTAGAAGAAAGTAATTATGATTAACAAAAACATAAGAGAAGTGAGTGTAATAACCCTAAGTAGAAGAGAGGAAAGTGAAATATATTCTTTATTAAAATGAAAATCCAAAACGAATATTTTTGGTTTAACGGCCAAAAATTAGTCCGTTAATCTAGGTTGTTTAACTTGTTTGTATTGTTTGGTTTGGGCCAGGTTTGTCCTTGGATTAAGGCCCATAAATTGGGCTGGGTTACCAGATTGCTGGTTTGTTGTAAAGTTTCAAATTCAGTAGCCAGTTGCAAAAAGTTTTAACTCGTTATGAAATCAGCAATCCAAGTCAAACCGAGTATGGTCTTGACTCTTGAACTTGAATTATGTATCCCATGTTTAATATTTCAGATTGAATTTGAATTTCACGTATGAGAATTCAAGTTGGGTTTGACTTTGAATTGACAACTTCAGATTAAATTTCAAATTCAACCAAATGTGCACACAGTAACAAAGAGAAAAATAAATAAAGGAAAAGACCCCATAAATTTGAATAATCTAATTAAAAAATGATGATTGTATATGTTGATGGAGCTGAGCACCAGGTGTTTGATCAATTGACATCTAAACTAGTCTGTGGTTTATGTTTGCTTTGTAGTCTGGATTTTCATCTCCTGCTGAGTCTGGTATCATGACTGACCTGGGCCTCTCTACTGCAGATGTAAGTACTTTCCATTTTCCTTTCTTAGGGTGTTTGGGGTGTAACCAATCTCTTGTTTTAAGAAACATGGTATTGATTAAGAGGGTTGAACATGCATGAATGCATTGAATAGAATTTCTATAATACTTGTGAAAATGGTGGTGTGAAGTTTCTGACCATGCTTTCTTTGAGAACTCTAATCAATTCTTGTGCATTGCTGAAATTGAATAAGAATGTAAGTCATTTGTGAGAATAAAATTTCGTTATTGATCGCTTGTCAAGGTGAGAGAGACTGAAAAGCAATGTAACACACTTCAGATGAACATTTTAACCATTTGAACAGCAGATGTCAAATTTGTGTAATTTAATTATAACAACTGTCTGATGATGAAGAAAAACAATTTTCGGGTTTCATAGAAAATAATACAATGTTGTGTTCTTTTCGATGTTTTTAATGTCTTTTGCCCATTAACATAGTTGAGGGTTTGGAACAGAACAACTAGGCTACACCATTTCCATGTTAAATGGATTTACTGAAATTTCAAACACTATTTATCACTGCTACTTGAATTTGAATACTTGTTCGCAGCCAATTGATATTGAAGACACTTGTTGAGACAACTGATCGAGTCAAGCAGCACATTAGATTGTGTCATGTCAATAGAATGTATTTGCTTTTCTGTTTGATCGATTTTGTTTATTCCCTTTTCATTTTGTGCAGTACTCACTTTTTGGTTCAGCATTGACAATTGGAGGAATGCTAGGTGCAGCAGTAAGTGGAAAAATTGCAGATCTCATTGGCCGGAGAGGAGTAAGTCTTTTATTTCTTTTTCCTCCTACCTTGCAAAGCATAAATTCTTGTTGCAAACGCTACACAAATTCTTTAATTTTGGTTGATCTTGTAATGCAGGCTATGTGGTTCTTGCAAATATTTTTCATCACAGGGTGGCTTTCAATAATTTTCGCGAAGGTTTATTCCACTTGTTTCCCTTCCACAACCATAATTTAATTCATTCAACACTCCAGAACAATTATTCATACTGGAACTTCTTGTCTGCTTTCACACATCTTAGCAATCAAGTGGCTTTTGAGGTGTTCATTAAACAACTTCCTATGGAAACTACTAGCGTGATATATGAAGAACTTTTAAGTGATTATATGCTCGTTCACTCTTCGCCTTGATTTCCATTTTAAATATGACAAGACTAGAAAATAGGGACCATTGTAGCAGCATTATTATAAACTCTTATGTGAAGTTGCTCCAGACACACACACACACATATGCCTATATATATATATATTGACTGTTCATAAGAACATCAAAATGAAAAAAGAAGAGAGAGAGAGAGAGAGAGAGAGATCACTTAATCTAAATCAAGTCTATAGAATTTTGTTTTTCATTTATTTGGTTGGCTTGATAATAAATGCTCTGTGTTTGTCGAAAGGGAGCTTGGTCGCTTGACATTGGTAGACTATCATTGGGAATTGGAGCTGGGATGAATTGTTATGTGGTAAGTTTTGTAGATTTACATGTCTTTTTGATTTCTTTGTCCATATATCAGCATAATTTGGCTTGCATTGCCATGGCCAAACAGGCAAATGTATATATCGCTGAAATCACACCTAAGAGAATTCGCGGAGGATGTACAGTCTTTAATCAGGTAATAACCATTAAAATTATCATAAATTTGGATCAAAGAATCAACTTTTCTTTTATTTATTTTTGGCAATTCTACAGTTATCCATATGTTATGGCATATCACTGATGTTTTTCGTTGGAAATGTCGTTACTTGGCGCGTCTTGGCTGTAATAGGTACCTTTCTCAAGTTTTCTGTTGTTTAGCACAACCTGAAGGTAGTTGCATTATAATGGATTTGCTTTGATTTCAATTTTAGGAACTGCACCAAGTCTGGTACAAGTTATCGGTTTGTTCTTCATACCAGAGTCTCCGAGATGGTTGGTGAGTTCGGTTCAAAATCTAATCTTGTTATTTAGGTGTTGTTCCATGGAATATTTTTAGTCCAAAAGAGAAAATTGGAGTGTTGCAACAAGCCAACAATAAAAAACTAATTTAACAAAACAATTTGAGTCCTATAATTTTTTTTTTTTTTCTCTTTCTTTTTTTTTTAAGTTGAGCTAATTCAGTAAAACATGTAAAAGAAACAAATCATTGAATGCTAAACATATGAGCTATGAGTTCAATTTTTGTTTGCATTTGCAGGCAAAGATTGGTAAAGTGAAAGAGTTCGAAGCAACACTACAACGTCTGAGGGGAGCAAAATGCGATATTTCTCAAGAAGCAGCTGAAATCAGGGTAACATCTTTAACTCCACATGTTAATTCACAAGTCACTGTCTAGATTAAAAAAAAGTTATGCCTTTTCTTTCCCCTATTTCTAAGAACAGCGACGACAAAAAATTTAAATCCTTTCTGTTTTACAGGATTACACAGAAGCTCTTCGATTACTCCCACAATCCAGAATTTTAGACTTGTTTCATCGGAAATATGCTCATGCACTCATTGTAAGCCTTCTCATTAATCCTGAATGTGGGTTGTTGCCTTTCCACAACTTCTCCGACCTCTAATGAATACAACAAATTCCACAAGGTTGGAGTCGGGCTAATGTTACTGGTACAATTGGGAGGGAACGGTGGAATTGCATTTTATGCAAGCTCTATTTTTGAAGCTGGTGGTAAGTTGAAGATCTCTTGTAATGTCAACAAGTAACTAATGAATCGAAAGAGCAAGTCCGAGGAATGAATATCTGAATCTGTATCTTACATATGGCAGGTTCCTCGGCTAGTGTTGGCACTACAGCAATGGCTATTATTCAGGTTCTGACTAGTGTAATTTGAACGCGGGATTTTATTTAAGGCACTTCCTAGATGATATTGACATTATTTTGCAGATTCCATGCTCCATTTTGGGTGTATACTTGATGGATAAATGTGGACGACGAACACTTTTGATGGTTAGAATGTGAACGACATTTCTTTTGCTTTTTATTTATTTATTCTTAGGGTTTTTTTGATGTAGTTGATAGATGAGCCAGTACTAAATTCTTTGTAGGTTACTGCAGCTGTAACATGCTTGGGAGCCTTTCTTGCAGGATTGGCATTCCTCTTGCAGGTTTCTTTGAAACTATATATCTTTACATTTCTATGTTCCAAAAATAATTATCTTCTAAAACATTAATTCACCGCGACCAGGATTTTGATCAACCAAAGGAGCTCTCTGCCGCATTGATTCTGAGTGGCATACTGGTACCATGTCTAACCAAACAATAGTTCTATCCTCTGTCTTGATATTATGAAAGTGAAAGTGAAAAAGATATAATTGAAGATATTGGTCATCTGTTTGTGTTCTCTTTACCTACCAAAGAAAATGATTCTTCAAATTTTCTCACATTCCCACAAAACCTTCCCATTAATATAATGTGGGGCTATTTGTAACATCCTTTGAGCAATTATCTTCATATGGATGGCCATTTTTAACATGTTTTGGCCATTCATATAAATTCTTTTGTGTGCGTGTGTGTTTGTGTGTGTATTTCTTAGTCTAGTATGTCAAATATAAAGTAAAATAGCCCAAAGCTGGTTAGTCATTAAGTTCTTTCTTGTTTTGTCTTAGCCAAATTTTAACATATTGATGGAACAAACTGAGTAATGTGAGTGTGTGTGTGTGTGTGTGTGTTTGTGTTCTGATTCTGCATCCAGGTATATGCTGCTGGTTTTTCAACGGGCGTGGGTGGTACACCATTTGTTATCATGTCAGAGGTAGCTTATTTACTGGCCTTAACTATGTGTGTTTGTATGTGTCATGTGTGTGCATATATTTATCAAATTGCAAACCAGAGTCTAATATGGCATGAATGTGAATACATTTTATGTGTTGCTATTTCAGATATTCCCTATAAACATCAAGGGTTCAGCTGGAAGCTTGGCAAATTTAACCAACTGGTTTGGTTCTTGGGTTGTTTCCTATTCTTATAACTTCTTATTTGAATGGAGCTCAGCAGGTGATGCCTCTCTCTCTCTCTCTCTCTCTCTCTCTCTCTATATATATATATATATGATATCTGTGTATTTTTTACATGGTACTAATAATGCCACACTGTTTCAGGAGTATTCTTCATGTACACAATTGTTTCCGGATTAATCGTTGTATTTGTTGCAATCCTGGTGCCAGAGACAAAAGGAAGAACATTAGAAGAAATACAAGCATCCATGATTGATCTCTTCCACTGAGATACTGTTTTGAAAATAAAATCAATGCTACAATGTTTCCATTTTTTTTGGGTACTCACATATTATCTTTAAGCTCCAGTTTCTTTGTTTTTCAAATTTTTTTTTTTTTTAAATATTATTCTTGTTTACTTTCTAGTGTGATGGTTCATTTTTATCTGGAGGACATCTTTCAGTATTCATCATCTGGCTAGATTACATCATTTCACTTTTTATTTATTTATTATTATTTTCCACCCTTCATCTGGATAACATCTTTCAGTATTCATCATTTGGACTTTCAAAAAGGAGCCTCACATGTCTTTTTCTGGCCCATGGTTTTTATTTTATTTTAGAGTATCGCTGCTACAAGGTTACACTTTTTATGAGCTTTCCTTCAAAATATTAATTTTTTGGAAAAATATATATATATATGCAAAAAATATATCATCATGTTCCCAATATTAAAATGATCACATTGTAAAAAAATATAAAAAATTCAATTCAAAATATTATAAAATAAAATCATACAAGACAGTCAAAGTTAATGGTGTAATTTGGTCAAAAGGAGTATGTAAAATTTTGATGGACTTGTGTGACTTAATGAATTTTAGTATGAATTTTGATTATATAATTCTTATATAATTTTTTTTAAATGATTAAATTTACTTCTTAATATTTGTACATCGTCATTGCAAAATGACAAAGAATGAAAATGAGGGTCACACCAAAAAAAATGATACTCACAAGTTGTTATAAGTTGGTCTTTAGTCAATTTTCTTTTCTTAATGAGTATAAGTCCAAAATTGATGGGGCGAAAGCCACGTGAAAGGTGAAGAAAACGAAAACAAAAAAAAAAAAAAAAACCCACGTGAAAGTCACATATAACCCATATTAACCACTATGTCCGAATTTTATTAAAAAAAGATTTGTGAACATCAGAACATTAATATTAATCTAAAAGGATCTAAGCAAGTAAAAATACGTCATCTTTTCAATATAATCAAGTACTTTTATGGGAAAAATCTATTTTATCTCTCAATAAATAAAAAACAAGTCGTAAAATGATACTTAAAAGAACTCGTAATGACAAAAATAAATAAATACAAATAAATCTATATATATATTTGACGGGTAATATATATAATTCATTCACATTATGAGTTGATTTATGGATCTAAGAATGATTCAAGACCATTTTGATAAACAAATAAAGGTATTATAAAAATTTTAAGTTAAAAAATATTGATTGTATATTTTTGGAATAGTATAAGGGAGTTTTGTACAACATTAAAAACCTCAAAGAAGTTTTTTATGGAATTGTAAAAGTTGTGAGATGATTTTTTTTTTTTTTAATAACACCGATCTCACCTAAGGCTTCGTCAATATACACTAACTTCTCTTATTGTTTGTCAAATTACACTCACCTCAGCTTTATTAGGTGGATGACGATTTTGATATAATTATGTTTTTATCTTTATGATACGTATATATTAGTATAATTACAATAAACATGCCTTCTAATCACGCAGCAACGAGTGGGGTGGATTTTTTATATATTTATTTTATAACTCATTTTTATAAAAATTTATGAAGATGATCTTACTAAAATTACAATTTGCTCCCATTAAATTTTTTTTTATATATTTTATACTTCAAATGTTTAAGAATTTATGAAAATGCCCCACTAAAATTACATTTTGTCCCCATTAATTTTATTTTATTTTATTTTTTTAAACATTTTATACTCTAATTTTTAAAAAATTTATAAAAAAAAATTATTAAAATTACAAGAATGTACTCACCATATTAATTGTCCCCACAAATAAAAACAGCAACCTGTCACAAGATTTTGTGGTCCTCACCTCTTATAATAATAGAATTAGAATTTAAAAATTATAAAATTTGACGAAAAAACCGGTGGCCTTCACTGCACGTTCTGTAACTACCCTTCTTTCGTCTGTCCACGAGGCTGCATAAAGAGAGAAAGGGGCGGCTATCTGATTCTGACACTGGACTACGACGCTTCACGTCCGGCCATTCCTACTTCTGCAGCTCTTCACCACTACATCTCCATTACATACCTTTGCCACCTCCCCTGAACGACAAACAGCCACACACAGAGAGCGAGAAAGGATCAAACTCTTTTGGGTAAATTTTCTCTTACATAACTATATATAATCATTGATTTTTATACTTATTTAGCTATTAAAATAGTTGAACAGTACCTCATTAATTTAGCTATTAAAGTAGCTATTTCTTTTTTGGAAGGATGAAAATGACACTCTGAAATTGGAATTGTAGAAAAATTCATCTAAAATTTGAATTAATAGCCCATTTTACCAAACAGATCAGCCTGGTGATCAATAATGGCATAAAATGCCCACAAAATTTCAGAAATGTATATTGTTGATCTTGTTCCTTCTTGGAGAGGTCATTATTTAAGCCCACAGAGACATGATTGAGAGGGGAAAGGTCTGGTCCCAGATTGTGTAGTTCATGTTGGCCAAAAAAGAAAGAAAAATATTAGACTTCTTTATATTTTAATCCAATTCGATAACAAGTCTTGTAACAACCCATCATTCTCTCTCTCTCCCTCTCTCTCTAATTGCAACTAAAGGTGCATATGATATAGGAATATGCAAGACTTGTTATTGAATATAGTTGCTTGACAGGTGTAGTTGAGATGAGCTTGATCATTGTTTTCGAAATGAAATTCTTGGTTATACGACCCGGTGTATGCAAACACACACACAATTCGAACACCCAACTTCTCATTCGATTGAGAAAAAGAGATCATACCATTTAGACTAATGTCGATTGGTATTCTGCAGTTAATTGAATTTCACATTCACACCCCCACTGGGTTGGTGACAAATATTATATCAATAGAAAACCTCATTTGAGGTGCCTCATATGCCCAGAAAAACGCATTAAAAAACATTTAAGTAATTAACTACCTACCAAAGGCCGTGGCCTAGTTGTTCTTCCTCTACCTCCCAATTTGAGAGGCGAGGGGAGTCCTCATAGGAGCAAATGGGGGTGTGAGTTTCTTGCAAATGAAATACAAAATGAAGAAAAAAAAAAGTAATTAACTGCCCGTCTCAAGTCTCAAGTAAGTTTCCTAGTTTCATTTCTGTTCAAATGCAGAATCTCTCTCTCTCTCTCTCTCTCTCTCTCACACACACACACACACACACACACAACTACTCAAAACTCTTTTTCTCAACTTCCCCAACTCTTCTGTCCTGTCCTGAAGCAGAGCAGCTTATGAACAAAGCAAGCATGGAAGAGGGACTACTAAACAGTTCTTTGATTCCTGAAGAAAAGCCTGAAGTTAGCAGCATTAATGGTGGTGGTTGCAGCAAAGAAGTGAGTGGTTCCTCCGCCATCACAGCAGTGGTTGTCCTCAGCATCTTTGTGGCTGCCTCCGGTTCCTTCGCATATGGTTGCTCCGTAAGTGGTATTTAATTATGCATTACTGAGTTTGTATACATTCTTAATTTGATGCATATAGGGATATTCTTGTGGTTTGAACATAGGAAGCACGGACACGAATACTACATGATATGGCCACAAATCTAAAAAAAAATAGGACACAATTACGGCATTAATATGTATATATTGTTATATATGTAAATAATAAATTTTAGTCATTTTATTCATGAAATCGTGAATGAAATCACTAATTTGGAGTTTAGAGTTAGATGTTTGTCATTTTTGTTTTTGAAAATTTTATATCATTTTTTTTAATTAGCCCATAATATATTTTAAATTGCATTAAATCCATTTTTTATTAAAAAAATAATTACCAAATCACCCCACCTTCTCTTGAAACTGTCCAAAACGTGCCCTTGTCATGTTCAACTAGAAAATAAAATATTCAAATTTCTGGACATTTCTAGTTGTGTCTGACATATGTTAGGCTCTGTCCGAATGTTCGACATGCATCCAATACCACCGCGGCACCGAGGAGAAGTGTCCCTGCTTGAAATCCCCTGCTATAGTGGTGGTGTAATTTTTCAACACCATTACTCGTGATTTTCAACAACTTTACATTTGTTTTTCAACACATTACACCTATTTTTCAACGCATTAAATCTGGTTGAAATAAATAGATGTAATCATGTAAACAAATATAATGGTGTTGAAAAACCATACAACACCACAACACCACCGAAAATTACAACAAAGGATCCGGGCTCATAAGATTGAGGTGTTATTTCTCAATGAAAACAAATATATGTGTGTGTATATATATGTATATACTACTATAAAGAGGGGGCTTAGTGTTGTCATCATTTGATGATCAATCACTATAGATATTTACTCTATCCAATGGATGAATGTGTGTACTCACACTAAGAGGTAGAATTACTCTATTTATTTCACTCATACCGTGTCATGTACATTACAAAAATAAATACATTGTATACCATATATATGTGTGTGTATATATATATCACTTAGACTCTAAGTAAACGACTCACATTGGCTCATTTACAAAAGGCTGCACTTCAAGTTGGTTAATTTGAATCCAATCCGAAAATTCTGTTTGAAATTCGGTAATTGGGCTGACTTATCAAAAAAAAAAAAAAAAATCAGTAATTGGGCTGAAAAGGAGGAAATTCACTTCGATTCGGACTCAAGTTCATGTGTCAGGCAACTCGAGGCCCAATCTGAACCCGTGCCCAATATGCACTGGACTAGGAATATATATATATATTAATATCTCTGGGTAACTACACTTATCCCAAAAAAAAAAAAATTCTCCGGGTAACTACCATGTGCTCCTACCAATGAAAGAGTCCCCATTTCCCTTGATAATAGTAAAGTGATGGGTAGTGTGTAGCCTAATAGATACTGTACACCAAGGCCCAACTTCGCAGATCCCGAATTTTTTGAGGGGTATTTCGGTAATTTCCGCACTTGTTATGTTACCCTAGTGCGAGGGTATTTATTCATTCTGAACTCTCTGTATTCGCAGTTGTTTTAATCATCATAGTGAAATCCCTGCAACCCTTGGACGTTGCCCTGAAATTTGGGTGAACCAAGTAAAATCTATGTGTTCTTGTTGTGTGTGTGTGTTTGATATCTTTCTTGTGTTTTCTGTTTAAATTTGCAACATAAAGGACAATTGTTCATTGGCTGAGATACTATGGGGTACTTAATACCTGTTCCTATATAGAGAGGGAAAAACTAAGACATTTATTCGGCTAGATTCAGTGAACGTGTTCTTCACTTAAGAATATTCGAATAGGAACCATCCTTGTTTCCTAAAATTATGGCATTGCTATTTTGGATTCTTTTTTATATTACATTGATGCCCTCATTTTGATTATATACTAGGCTCATAATAAGTCATTTTATATGTGTATGTATATATGTATGTATGAACTCGGGTCCCCTCTTGTTTAGGAGATCCTGTGCACTCATCCTATACAGCACAATTATAGTGCAACACAGTTATATCACAATGCAACACAGCGCATCATCATCCTTGCCTTCATCCTGTACAAATGGGATTGGCCACAATGCAACACAGCTACATCACAAAATGCAACACCAATGCATGCAACGTCATAACACCATTAAATGGAGAAGTTAACACAATTAGTTGTTTTCATTAGGCACAAAAGGAAAATGACACAGGAGAGGATCCTGGTATATATATTTGTATTGATAGGTAATCTGTGATATTTGGATTGTTTGCATATTGAGCTCAGTATTTTTGTCAATTGTTGCGATGAAGTATGGTGCTGGCATGGTTGTTTCACATTAATTATGTTAACACAAACTGTTATGTGAAAACAGACCTAAAAAAACATATGCTGCAATTCCAATTTCAAAGATCGTCCTCGTCCTACTTAATTTCTTGAAAATTCTCTCTTTCGTTGAAATGGTCTTAAAACTGTTTGTCTCACTGAATGGCCTCTGCTTTGTAGAGAAGAAAATTGATTTTTGGTAGAATGTCTTTAGTCCTACTTGAGTAGGAGTTCTGCTCAAAGCAAACTTTTTTCTGTCTTTATTTATTTTTCTTTTTTGGTAATAATTCACACAAGCACACCCATTTGTCTTAATACTCTTAATACCCATTTGACACCCCCCCTCCCTTTTGTTTATTAACATCAAAAAGGAAATAGAAAACAAAAGAGCCCATCAATTTGGATAACCTAATTACCAGTTGATGATTGTATATGTTCATGGAGCTGGCACTGGTTGTTTGACCAGTTGATATCTAACTAGTCAGTGGTTTATGTTTGCTTTGTAGGTTGGATATTCATCTCCTGCTGAGTCTGGTATTATGAATGACCTAGGCCTATCTACTGCAGAGGTAAGTACTTGTCATTTGCTTTTTCTTGTCTAAAAGGATTGGGGTGTACCAATCTCTTGATTTAGGAAACATGGTATTAGTTTAATGGGTTCCACACACATGCGCGGCAGTTCTATAATACTGGTGAATGACCTAGGCCTCTCTACTGCAGAGGTAAGTACTTGTCATTTGCTTTTTCTTATCTAAAAGAATTGGGGTGTAACAATCTCTTGATTTAGGAAACATGGTATTAGTTAAATGGGTTCCACACGTGTGCGTGGCAGTTCTATAATACTGGTGAAAATGGTTGTGTGTGAAGTTTGTGACCATGCATTGTTTAAGGACTGTAAAAATTCCTGTCGCATTGCCGAATTAAATAAAAAATGTGTTTCATTTGTGAGGAAAAGATTTCATTACCTTTCAGCTGAACACATGAGAGTGAGACTGTGAAATGCAATGTAATACATTTCAGCTGAACATTGTCACCATATAAACAGCAGATCCCAAATTTAACTAATACTTAACAACTGTATAATGAAAAACAAGTTTTAAGTTGGGGTTTAAAGAAAATCCAATGTTATGTATTTTTTATGCCATTAGAGGTCCAGCATTTCAATTGATAGGAAGCAAAGGGGCTACAGAATTGTTCATGTCTTTTTCGGGAAAAAAATTTGTTGGTAAGGATAAAATATGTTTAAAACTTAAAGTGAATTCACTAAAGACTTAAAGTGAATTCACTAAAAGTTCAAGCTCTATTTGAAGACACTCGTTGAGACAATGGAATCAAGCAGAGCATTATGTTGTTTCCACTCAATAGGAGTTATACGATTTTCTGTTTGATCGATTTTGTTTATTTTCTTTCCTCTTTGCGCAGTATTCAGTCTTCAGTTCAATAACGACAATTGGAGGAATGATAGGTGCAGTAATAACTGGAAAAGTTGCAGATCTCGTTGGTCGGAGAGGTGTAAGTTTTTTTTCTTTTTCCTCCTACCCTTCGGATGTTTCTCGTCAGGATAGCATAAATTCTTGATCCAATGATTCCAATTACTATACTAATTCTTGAATTTTAGTTGGTGCTGTTATACAGGCTATGTGGTTCTCGCAAATATTTTGCATCATGGGATGGCTTTCAATAATTTTTGCAAAGGTTTATTACACTTGTTTCCTTCCCACAACCGTAGTTTAATTCATTTATACTTCATTAAACAGCCAAGAGGAACTATTCATACTGCAAATGTTATATATTTTCACTCATCTTTGCAATCAAGGGTCCTTTAAGGTATCCATAATTCAAATTTATAAGAATTGACTTCCAAGGGAAACCAAGTGCAATTACTAAAAATTTCTAAGTCAATCTATTTTCATTTTTGTTCAACTCACATGCTGTAATCACTCGTCAACTTGATTTTCATTTTAAAAGCGGGTCATAAAAGAGAAAGTGAAAAATTGGTCGATCTAAATCAAGTCAGTGGAATTTTGTTTTTAATTTTTTTGGAAGGATGATTGATATTAAATGTTCAGTGCTTATCAAAAGGGAGCTTGGTGGCTTGATGTTGGAAGACTATTATTGGGAGTTGGATTTGGGATTAATTATTATGTGGTAAGTGTTGCAGATTATTGATTTCTTTGTCCATGTATCAGCATAATCTGACTTACATTCCTATGGCCAAACAGGCAAGCATATATGTAGCAGAAATCACACCTAAAAATATTCGAGGAGGATGTTCATCATTTAATCCGGTAAATCAAAATTAAAAAAAAATCCAAATTATCATAAATTTGGATTAAAGAATCAACTCTTCTGTAATATGTTTTGGCGAATCTACAGCTGTCTCTATATTTTGGCATGTCAGTGATGTTTTTTGTTGGAAATGTCATTAATTGGCGCTTCTTGGCTTTAATAGGTACCTTGCTTCACTTTCGTATTGTTTAGTACAGTCTGAAGGTGTTTCCATTAATATGAGCTTGCATTTTTTGTTTCAATTTTAGGAATTGTACCATGTCTGGTGCAAGTTGTTGGTTTGTTCTTCATACCAGAGTCTCCAAGATGGTTGGTGAGTTTGATTCAAAATTTAATCTCGTTTTTTAGGTAGTGTTACATGGAGTGTTTTTAGTTCAAAAGAGCGAAGTAAAATTGAATAGAAAAATGGAGTACTCAATTTTTGTTAAACGGAATTATTTTTAGGTTTCGTTTAGTGAATCATCATTTAAAAGTGCTTTTAGTTTGAACTAAAGCATGATAAAACAAAGAAACCTACAATTTTAGACATATCATTTTTCTTATTTTTCTATTTTTCAATTTGAGCCAATTCTGCAAAACACATAAAAGAAACACATCTTTGAATGTTAAACTGATGAGTGCAATTTTGTTTGCACTTTGCAGGCAATGATTGGTAAAGAAAAAGAGTCAGAAGCAACTCTGCAACGTCTGAGGGGGGAAAAATGCGATATTTCTCAAGAGGCAGCTGAAATCAGGGTAACATTTGAACTTCATGTGTTAATTCAAAAGTCGCTGTCTAGAAGAAGAAAATTTATGCTTTCCTTTTTCCCTTTTGCCTATTTCCAAGAACAGTAACGATAAACAAAATAATTCCTTGTTGTTTTACAGGATTACACTGAAATTCTTCAAGGACTCTCACAGTCCAGAATTTTAGACTTGTTTGAGCGGAGATATGCTCACTCACTCATTGTAAGCCTCATCATTAATCCTAATTAATTGTGGCTTGTTACCTTCTCCACAACATCCCTGACCTCTGTCGAATATAACAAATTGCACAAGGTTGGAGTTGGGCTAATGTTACTGATACAATTTGGAGGGAACTGTGCAATTGCGTTTTATGCAAGCTCTATTCTTGAAGCTGCTGGTAAGTTAAAGATCTTTAGTAATGTCAACAAATAACTAATGAATTGAAGGAGCTATTTGAGGAATGAATGTCTGAATTTGTATTTTACATATGGCAGGTTGCTCGGCTAGTGTTGGCACTACAGCAATGGCTATTATTCAGGTTCTTAACTCTCAAGTGTAATGTGAATGTGGGATTTTATTTAAGGCACTTCTTAGATGAAATTAATATTCTTTTGCAGATTCCATTCTCCATTCTTGGTGTATACTCGATGGATAAATTTGGAAGACGACCACTTCTGATGGTTAGAATGTGAAAGACATTTCTCTTATTTTGGCTATTTGATGTAGTTGATAGATGAGACAGTTCTATTATGTCTTTGTAGGTCACTGCAGCTTTAACATGCTTGGGAACCTTTCTTGCAGGATTGGCATTCTTGTTGCAGGTTTCTTTGAAAGTATATATCTTTACATTTCTATGTTCAAAAAATAATTATCTTCTAAAACATTAATTCACCGTGACCAGGATTTTGATCAATGGAAGGAGCTCAGTGCCGCATTGATTCTGAGTGGCTTATTGGTACCATGTCTAGCAAACAATATTTCTATTTTCTGTCTTGATATTATGAAAGTGAAAAACATCTAACTGAAGAAATTGGTCTTATGTTTGTGTTCGCCCTACCTACCAAAAAAATGTTTTTCAACATCTCTCACATTCTCACACAAACTCCCCATGAATATAATGTGGGGGTCTAAATGAATTTGTGCTGTGCACTGTGCTGAGTTTTTCAACTGTGAATGGCTGTAGTTACTCCCATGGTCATTCATGTAATTTCTTGGATGTATGTGTGTGTTTACTAAATTTTAACATGTTGAGTTATATGTGTGCGCGCCTTGATTCTGCAACCAGGTATTTTCTGCTGGTTTTTACACGGGAGTGGGTGGTACACCATGGATTATCATGTCAGAGGTAGTTTGTTTACTGGCCTTAACTATACATATATATTTATAGAATTGCAAACCAGAGTCTACTATGGCATGAATGTGAATACATTTATGTGTTGCTATTTCAGATATTCCCTATAAACATTAAGAGTTCAGCTGGAAGCTTGGTGACTTTGACCAACTGGTTTGGTTCTTGGATAGTGTCCTATACTTATAACTTCTTATTTGAATGGAGCTCAGCAGGTGATGCCTCTCTCTCTCTCTATATATATGTATATGTATATATATATATTATATCTGTGTATTTTCTGCATGGTACTAATTAGGCCACACTGCTTCAGGAGTATTCTTCATCTACACAATTTTTTCCGGTTTAGTCATCGTATTTGTTGCAATCCTGGTGCCAGAGACAAAAGGAAAAACCCTAGAAGAAATACAAGCATCCATGATTGATCTTCTCCACTGAAATACTGTTTTGGAAATAAAATACAAGCACACCTGAGAAATGAATACCTCTCTTGTTCACAAAGCATATTGATATTTTGTCAGGCATTCACTTTTCAACACTTTATTTCAAAATGTAAAATATTTGCTTCCACCAATCTTCTACCAGTACTAAGTAAGAGGGTTAACCTTAATTAGATAAGGAAACAACCCCAAAACTTGTAGAAATTGTGCAACATTCGTGCCATTTTTATGGCCATTGATGGCCTTCGGCTTTGAAGCCGAAAGTAGTAGAAATTGTGCAAGTCTTGCTTCTAATTCTTATAAGACAACCTCTTTACAGACAGCCTTTTCATCAGCAAAAATTGTTTTAAAAAATTTGTTCTCATTTTCAGAATTGTCTTTGGGTTGGCATATACTTGTTTTGTTGAAGTTATTTTATAATCCAAATCATTTATTTATTATTTATTATTTTTATTTTTTTATCTTCAGATATTGTTCTGTGTTTACCCAGGGGCCTTACTGAAGAAAAATCACTGGAATCAAGCTTAGAACAATAACATAAGATTCTTTGCTTTTCATTTTATTTATTATTATTATTTGTTAGTATTGTTCTTGTTTACTTTCTAATGTGATGAGTCATTTTGTTCAGCATGCATCATTGGGCTACATTGCATCATTTCACTTTCGTCTCTTCAAACCAAATGAGCTGGGCCGAACCAGCCACTTGAAATCCAAATGCAAACAGCACAACAACAGAAGAAATATTCAATACAAAAAATATGTGCTAAAAAGGAGTTGAACAAGCAATAGATTTGTGGGGTCCTTCGACTAGGGACAACATAGAGAAGTGGGAGGTAGAGAGAGAGAGAGAGATATATATATATATATATATATATATATATAGAATATGTGAAGGGCATTTTTGAATTTTCAGATTTAAAAAAAAAAAAAAAAACCAATAGGGGTATTTTATGTACTTTACCCTTATTTAAAAAATACTCAATATCCATTTTTTAATTTTTAAAGACTTAAGCAAGATCCAAACAATCCTTAATACAATTTATTAATTGATTAAAACAAATGTATTGATTAAATTAATTTAATTGTAATTGTGCAACGAGTGGTATGCGTGTGTTCACATGGTTTGCATTTTCCTATATAATATCCCCTCTAGTTGCAGTTAGAGAGATAGAGAGTGATTGGTTGTTACAAGACTTGTATTACATTGGATTTATAATATAAAGAAGTCTAGGGTCTTCTTATTTTCTCACTTACAAAACAGTTTTTAAGAATTTGAAAAATAAAAAAATAATAATTTTTTAGAATTATAAAAGACAGTTGATAACTTAAAACATATTTTTTATAACTGAATTTTTAGAAAATCAAACCAAGCAAAATTTTTAAGTAGTTTTTTTATTTTCAGTTATTTAAAAATACTGTTTTCTAAGTGAGAAACTAAGAGACTTTTTTTGGACCAACATCATGGACTACATACATTTCCTTCGCAGTCATGTTTCTGTTGGCTTAAATCATGAGATAAAATAATCCGCAATCCATCCAATTGGTAAAGTTTAAAACCATCTATGGTAACTCACGTTATTGTAATAGTGTGAAATGCACCCGAAAGTAAATGGTAACAAATTTTACCGTTACACACTATTTTGGAACCGCGAGTTATTATTAATGGTGATAAATTTCACCAATTGGATGGGTTTGTAGGTTTCTCCCACTGGATATGATTTTTCAAAATCAGGATCTCAAGAAAAAACAAGATTGATATACATTTCTGAAATTTAATGTACATTTTTTGCCATTACTTATCATCAATCTATTTTAGTTGACAAAAAATACTAATATTATGTTTGGTAAAATGAACTTGGTGTTTTGAAATTAAAAGTGAAGAAAAATAATTCAAATTTTAGATTAATATTCTACCATTCTAATTTCAAAGTATCACATTCATCGTGCATGCCATTAAAACAAATGTACATTGATCTTCTGCAATTAATTGAATATTACATTAAACCCCCCACCCATTGTCGGTGACAAATAATATAATATTATCAATAAAAAACTTCATTAGAGGTGCCTCACATGCCCATAAAAAAAGCATTAAACAATAATAAAAAGTAATTAACTACGAGTCTCAACTAAGTTTCCTAGTTTCACTTGTTTGAACACTCTCTAACTTCTCAAAGACTTTTTTTCTCAACTTCCCCAACTCTTCTGTCCTGTCCTGAAGCAGAGCAGCTTATGAACTGAGCAATTAAGCATGGAAGAAGCACTACTAAGCAGGTCTTTGATTCTTGAAGCAAAGCCTGAAGTTGACGGTATTGGCCGTGGCGGCGGCAAAGAAGTGAGTGGTTCCTCCGCTACCACAGGGGTGGTGGTCCTCAGCATCTTTGTTGCTGCCGCCGGTTCCTTCGTTTTTGGGTGTGCTGTGAGTGGTATTCAATTAAGCATTATTATTGAGTTTATTTACTCTCTTAATTTGATGACTAGAGTTATTATTAAATCAGTGTCTTGAAAGTGTCCGATACCATTATGATACCAAGGACGAGAGTCCATGCTTCTTATGCTCTTAAGAAGTCTGACTCTAAAAAAGTAAAATGACTGGCATTTGAGTCAGGAGGGGCTACAATTCAAGTTGGCTAATTTGAATCCAATCTGAAAATTTTTTGTTTGAAATTTGATAACTTGGGATGAAAAGGACAATTTATCAGATATTTTTTCGGAAATTCAAGTTGATTGTATAATGGAGTTAGCTGCCATCGCCCACCCTGTGTTTGATCAATTGTCTTGCAATGCATCTCAATTGAAGAAGCATCTTTCTCTAGTTCCAAGAGCAGGACCGAGGTATGTTAATTTCCCAGAGATCTCTACCTCGTGTGAGTTGAGTCTTGACCCCATTGAGTCCATAATCTGTGTTTGTTGTCGGAGACAATATTTCATATGTGTCTTGAGTGTCCCAACCTTATTTGTCACTTCAAGTGAAGTCACGAGAGTGTTTTAATGTATAAAGTTAGAATAACTTTGAATGAAAATGAGAGTTTTGAGTTAACAATGACCTAATTCAAGGTACCTTTGAAGTCATGACAGTGTTTTAATGTATAAAGTTAAAAAACTTCGAATGAAAATGAGAGTTTTGAGTTAAAAATGACCTTATTCAAGGTACGTTAGAAGTCAAAAGATTGTTTTAATGTATGAAGTTTAGAAACTTTGAACGAAAATGAGAGTTTTGAGTTAAAAATGACTTTATTCAAGGTACATTTGAAGTCACGAGAGTGTTTTAATGTATAAAGTTAGAAACTTTGAATGAAAATGAGAGTTTTAAGTTGATGAATCGAAGCCTTGCAACATAGGATAAAGCTTTTGAGGTCTTGTGCCCAATCCTTTGTGTGATCCTCTCCACAAGGATTCTGTAGTCTGTAGCTTTGATTCTGGTGGTGATGAGAGGAATGCCCAAGTGCTTGATAGGTGGATAACACTTTTCAACCCCAAGTAGATTCAGTAAAGACAATTCAGTGCTCGTATCAACTCCCGAGCAAAAAAGCAGGCTCTTGGAGTGGTTTATAGAAAGATCAGACAATGAAGAGAACTGATCCAAAGCTTCTTTAACGACTGCCATAGAATTAACATTTAAATCGATAGTGAATGATGGAAATGTTCAACGAGCTTGAACCCACTGGATGATCAATGTGGGAGGGAAACCAAAGAGGGACAGAGAAGCAATAATAAAGTCCAACCTAATAGTATCAAAACCTTTCCTAATATCGACCTTTAAAGCACATTTAGGAGTGAGAGAGTCTTTGTGGTATCCACGCATAATTTCTTGGGCAAGCAATATGTTGTCACTGATCCTTTTACCATGAACAAAAGAAAATTGGTTGAGGTCAATTATAGGGCAACACGGTTATATCATAATGCAACACAGCTCATCATTATTATCCTTGCCTTCAACCCGTACAAACAGGTTAGCCACAACATAGCTATGTCACAAAATGCAACTTCGCGTTGCAACATTATAACACCATTAAATTGACAATTTAGCACATCTAGTTGTTTCATTATGCACAGGAGAGGATCCTGGTATATATATTTGTATTGCTTGCATCTTGATAGGTAATTTGTGATATTTGTATTGTTTGCATATTGAGTAAATCGTGATGAAGTATGGTGCTGGCATGGTTGTTCACATTAATTATATAACACAAAACTGTTGTATGAAAAAAAACAGACTTAAAAAAAAAGAGAAAGAAACTCCACTTTCAATTTCAAATATCGTCCTTTTCCTACTTAATTTCTTGAAAATTCTTTCTTTCGTTGGCATGGTTGTAAAACTGTTTTATCTCACTGAATGGCCTCAGATTTTCACGGAAGAAAATTGATTTTTGCTAGAATGTATTTAGTCCCACTTGAGTAGGAGTTCTGCTTAAAGAAAACTATTTTCTGTCTTTATTTATTTTTCTTTTTCGGTAATAAGTCACACAAGCACACCCATTTGACTCTTGATGGTTGTTCTGTCTAACTACTCTAATTTGTTACATTTGCCCTTTTTTTTTTCTTTTTTTTTTCTGTTCCCTCTTGTTTATCAACACCAAAAAGGAAAAAGGAAATAGAAAACAATAGAGCCCATCAATTTGGATAACCTAATTAACAATCGATGATTGTATATGTTCATGGAACTGGCACTGGTTGTTTGATAAGTTGAAATCTAACTGGTCAGTAGTTTATGTTTGCTTTGTAGGTCGGATATTCATCTCCTGCTGAGTCTGGTATCATGAATGACCTAGGCCTCTCTACTGCAGAGGTAACTACTTATCATTTGCCTTTTCTTATTTAAAATAATTGGGGTGTACCAATCTCTTGTTTTAGGAAACATGGTAGTATTACTTAAATGGGTTGCACATACATGAATGGCAGTCTCAAAGTACTTGTGAAAATGGTTTTGTTTGTGAAGGTTGTGACCATGCATTGTTTCAGGACTGTAAGCATTCCTGTCACATTGCCGAATTTAAATAAAAAATGTATGTCATTTGTGATGGGAAGCAAAGGGGCTATAGAATTATTGTTCATGCCTTTCAGTTGATAGGAAGCGAAGGGGCTATAGAATTGTTCATGTCTTTTTCGGTGGGGAAATTTTTTTTTTTTTTTTGTTGGTAAGGATAAGATATGTTTAATGTCTACAGAACAAGAATATAGTCAAGGCTTTGGAACAGAAAAATTACACTGAATAAAGTGAATTTACTAAACGGCTGAGCTCTATTTATCACCACTACTTGAATTTGAATGTACATAGCCAATTGATATTGAATACACTCGTTGAGACAATGGAGTCAAGCAGTGCACTAGATTGTTTCCAGTCAATAGGAGTCATATGCTTTTCTGTTTCATTGATTTTGTTTATTCTGTTTCCTCTTTGTCCAG